ATGATGGAAGGATCATTCACAGATGTATGCCTTAATTCTATTTATTTAATAACTCTCTCAATGTCGTCCGATACGCTAATCACCGGTGGTAACAAAGTTTAAATGTCGGGTTCTTAGCAGTACGACTCATATATGGAGCAGAGGGTCCAGGTACGTTCATGACAGGTAGATGAAGCCACCTGCTGCTTATTTTGGCCAAGCGCGCCCTGTCGCCGCACGGCCCTCATTTGATTAGCAATATGGATCCCGCCGCTCCTCCTCATCAGAAGCACCCAGTGCTACCCTTTTTATGAGTCCAGTGTAACATTTTAAGGCCTAGAATATACCATCTACATCCCTTGAATATATTATGCACCACGAAGCTATCGATTGAGCTGGAAACAATGTATGCGTGGATGGCCAGGTACCGTGTCAATTGCCTATCTGGGAGTTCTGACCGAAATAAATTTGCTACACAGTCAAAACATCACTAAAAATGGTATAAGTGGGCTTCACTTGCTCACTGGATGTATGCCTTCCACTTAAAGCCCTCAGGCGCTTTGAAAGACCCTTGAAGAGTTACTAATGACCGAAAATAGCTAAGGTGGCCAGGTTCCCGGCGGTTGATAGTATACTTGGAGGGATCTACAGTAGATTCCATACCTGGAAAATGGCAAAGACACTGTTAATGCCTATGATACGAAATATCATCATGAATCCAGAGAATAAGAGTAGGGCCGTGTGCAATGTGTTGGTCGCATCAATGTCACAAGGCTCTGCGCGGTGTCGATTCCCGCCCAATTTGCGACATTCTGAGGAGGCAGAACCTCGAAGCACACGTATTAATGCCGTTCTAGCTCATAATCGTGAGAAAACGCGTTTTTTATATCCTGCGTCGCGCGTCGGTATTCAAAATCCGACGATTATGTAATAAAATTCTTGGTCCAACCCCCCGCGGTAACAATAAGACTACCGCCCCACCCGCCCCACCCGCCCCACTGCAACATTTGCCACTTGAAATCTGAATTTTAAAAGCGACTTCAAATAGTCTCTAGTAACATCATCTTCCGTGCTCGATTGCCTGCACGTAGAGACCAGGCCATTGTTGCCCCAATAATCAGTATGGCATTCTGAATGGCTCAGTCTGATGGCCGCAGACTGATCTTTGTTCGTGATAACCATCAGCTTTCACAGCATCAATCACTCGACAATGCTTCCGTCGTCCTCCCCGTCAGGGCCCAACTGGTGGCGAATTCAGCCCAGCACTCCTCCCGCAGCCAGCGCAGACATGGGTACACCAACTACCTTCAATTTCCCGCCAGACCTGGAACGCGAGATCTTCGAGACCGCCGCATTCCTGGATCCAAAAATAATCCCGACACTGCTACGTGTCGCTAAACGGGTCCTACTATGGAAAGTAACTCCTCTCGGATATCCGTGTACTGCTGATAGGCTCCGCAGGACCGAACCTTTGTTGTATCATGTCGTTCAGATCAACGTCGTTAACACACCCGGCGGGGTGGGCGTGAACATGCTGCGACGTATCGACGAGAAAGGCCCGGATTTCTTCCCTACCGCTGTCCGGCATATGGATCTCTTCGGATGGGTCTCGATCTACTTCAGCCGCACAGTCAAGAACGTCTGGCCCACACAGGATCTCGAACGAATCATCCACGTCTGCACATGCGTCGAGTACCTCCTCATCATCAGCGATCTCACGACGCCGCCCCTCTTCCCCATGGTCCAGGACATGCGGCCAGCGCGCCTCTTCATGGTCGTAGACCTGAAGCACAAGCACCTCGACTTTACGCGCCCGTTCTTCCAATCCGTCAGCCATCTGGCCATCGGCGAGCTTGACCGCCCGCGCTCCCCGCTCGGCGAGCCCATTCCGATGCACTGGCGCCACTGGCCCGCGCTCCTGCGGCTCCCACTGCTAACACATCTCGCGCTCGTGCACGACGCGACCCCGGACCTCGTGGACACTCTCTTCGGCGCCGTGCCGCGCCTCGAGATCCTTGTCATCCTCGCGGAGGACGCCGCGGCGTTCTCGGAGAACGTCATCTCGCACGATCCACGGCTCGTGATCCTCGAGCTCGACAGCCTCGAGGCCTTCCAGATGCCATCCGGCACGCGTGCCGTGAATGAGTTCTGGACCTGGGCGGAGGAGTTCGTTGCGCGTAAGCGGAGGGGAGAAATTGAATGTTCGTCTACTACATTTCATTTGTGTTCGGCTACGTATGTGCATGCTGACCTGAAATCTTAGTGTCTCATTATTGCATGGAATTGGGCGAATCTGCGTTTGGACGGGGCCGTGACCCGTGGATTATTCGATAAGCCAGGGCTGTGTAAAGCTCGCTAGACATGTGGATGGATGAACATGAACATGTCCGGCTGTAGGGTGATTACGAGTCTTAAAATTTTATTTTTAAACTCTTTCTTATATAATCCATTCTTCCGCCAAAAGGGAGGCTTTTGTTTTTTGCGATGATGTCTTTGAGCGTTGGATTTTAGTAACCTATTTCATGTCATGCCTTACCTTATGCCTTTCCCATCATATCTCCTTATTGTCTTCGTCACTGACACGCTGGAATGTCGCTTGTTCACAACACCTCTATTTCGGTAGCGTGTGTATGGATATTTTTTTTCGGTGGCCAGGGGGACCCCTCCCTCCCTTACCATATAAGGAAATTTCTTATCTTCGAAGCCCCTTGGAAGGTGTGCTGAGATTTTCGCATTTCCGGAGCCCCTTGGCTCCAAATCCATCCGTCTTGGCTAAGTACGTATTCTACTCCTCCGTGGGCCTGATCACCTCCGCATCTCGACACAATACCAAGCTTCCCTCCCTGTACCACGTCGCCGGCTTGCCTTTCATCGCTGGGATATGTAAAACTACGGCGGCGTGAAAGAATGCGGGCTGGCGGTAGATGAGAATGGTGTCTCGCGACGAGATGCTGGTCTTGTTGTTGCCAATTATCGTCGTCAATCTGGGGCACACTGCGATGATCACCAAACCCTTGGGAATGGCGAATCTGGATGTCGGCGACTAGCGCGATTACCTTCCCAATATTGTGCCTCAGGTCCAGCTGCGTCACGCTCGGCAGTTTACCTAACAGCGAGCGGATGATGTCGATTTTATTGCAGCCGGTGTTGAATGTGAGGTGAGTGACAGTGCGGAGAGCTTCGATCTCGCTGATTATAACGTGATAGGTGTTTGTGTCCGTGCCGATCGTTAGATGCAGTGTTTCCACCCAGGACCCCGGAATGTACTGTCGAAGGCTAGGTTCCCAAAATCCTCGATCTGGGGATTTTTGTCCGGACAGCTTTCGACAGGATCTGGGCATTTTTGTCCGTCCTGGACCTAGTCGTGACTGATGGGATCACCCAAAAAGGGTAATTTTCGCTCCTTGGCACCAAGAAAATGCCAATTTTTTCTCCTTGCCTTCTTTTTAGGTTTGTTTTTGCCAAATTAGAGTGATCGAGCGAAGTTGTGCACCGAATCAAGTTCAAGTAGGTAGGTTTCTCCAAAAGAAAGTTCGACCCAACTCTCAAAATTTGTCCGGACAAGACCTGGCATTTTTGCCTTTGACCTCTCATTTTTGTCCGTCCAGGACCTAGGTTTGGACGCCAAATTGTCAAAATTTTGTCGGCGCCGGACCTGGCCTCCCAGGCCTTTCCACCGGGGGGATCAAGGGCCGGTGACATGCGCGCCCAAATTGTCGGCGACCCCGCTTTGGCTACCTACTGGATCTTCAACAGCACGAAACCATGTGGTTCGCAGTACGTTGTAGCCACTTCAGATTCTGCACATGCGGCTAAATAACTCCGGACTGGCAGGCTCACCGATAAGGGTTCGAGGCTGGCGTTGACCAGCTGGCCCAGGGCAGCGGCGGAATCAACCCGGTGAAGTCCTCGATAGTTCGGCGTGTACTGAGCTTACCTTCACCTGGACCCAGCTGACGCTAGAATCCGCGAATCCTAACGAGGCAGCGCAAGTGTTCAAGCTCGTGCAAGGTGCCTCATTTTTTAAATCCTCCGCACGATTCTGACACCACCCGCCGTAGCCTAACACGTCTGAGATGCCATCAACGGGCCCGTTTCCAAGTTAAACACTTGGTTCCCCAGCGCCTCCGTCTCCGAGTTTAACACTTGGATTTCTAGTTTTGTTTCAGCACTCTTGTTTGCAATGTCATTCAGTACCTACGGGTTGTGACGCTGAGTTGATTCCACACCTGCGTCACTCGAGTTCCAGAACTACGGTATAGTAGTAGTAGTTTTATTCGATGTGACGTGTGATTAAAGTCGCGGTGACTCGGATGCCGGCGGCCGCACATGGCAAGACATACCACTGTATATGATATTTTCTCGGAGATACGAGCCTATAATCATTCCTATACTTCTCCCTGTGGGCCAAGCAGGTGCGTCTATCATCTGAGCACCCGCCCTCGCATTTCTCCCTCGCCGTCCTCGTCGAGAGCGGCGCGCTCCAGACGTGCGTGCATCCCTTTCCGTCCCTTTCCTCCCCGACCCAGTCTCCCTCTTTCCGCACTGACACTTGACGTAGGACCGCCGCGATCGCGATCCTCATAGCATTCTAGGTGGGGTTCATCGGGCAGGCCGCGCTGCAGCCCGTCGCGCCCGTCATTTACGCGATCTCGATGACCCCCATCCATCTAAGGATCGGCTTGGGGTGGGCGCACGAGCCCGGGCGGCAAGACTCGCTCGCCCCCTCGGCACGCATCACCTTCGCGTCCACTTCCCATTCCAATTTCAACGATGCGGACATTATAACGCGCGACGAGCACGCGTTGGGAGTATCCCGACCTCGAAAATAGATAGGCTTCAGGAAGTTTCCACATCTTTAGACACGGTTTTGTATCACATTTTACTTGTATCCAGTAATCGCAGGGAGCGCGCCTCCAGATCGTTCATTCATCGTCCTCATCACTAGATTTACAACGTTCTTGCTCACCAGCCTTTCCAGGTGTCCTGCGCCAGGGCCGCGAGATAAACAAAACAAAAAATGGACGAGTGGCGAGTCGAACGCCAGACCTCCCGCAAACAGTCGAAGTGCGAAGCGGGCGCAATAACCAACTATACTACACGCCCGCGCTGAACCGTGAACTGGCATGTGCTGTGATCGAGGATGGATCGTTTCGTCCTGACTTCAACGTATATAAGTCGTCGTGCTATATTTTTGTGGAGGCTGCAGAGCTAGTTGATGTGTTGATCCCCCCCGGCATTCGTGTACATCTTCAATCGCCAGAATTTATGAAACGGATTCGACGACTCGAAACATGCGCGATCGATCATTGTCGTATTAATTATTGGCGGTTGCTCGATTTGGACATGTGAAGGTCTTCTGAAACCCGTCATGCAAGCCAGGAACCTAGTTATGACGTTCAACATGTGAATGGAGTGAATATCAATCGGTGCTGTACGAACTCCGTGCAGAGTGCTGTGTATCATCGCCCTAGCCCTGCCTTGACATCCCTCTCCCGGTAATGCTGGCCACCGGGGGCCACCGCCCGATAATACGCGCTCCACACCACGGAGCTGGGACGCGTCACGGTCTTCGCGGTGCCTAGCGAAGAGCGCGACGCGTCGGAGTGCCGGCGACTCGCGGCTTTCTGCGCGAGACTGGCGCTCATCTCGCGCTGCACGTGGTGGATGTCGCTGGAGAGGAATTCGGAGGAGGACTGAGACTGCGACGGCGCACGAGAGGATACAGACAACACCGGACTTGGCGTGGAGGGCGTGCCCAGAGGTGAGATGTAGACACCTTTAATGGACAACGAGCTCCTTGTGCTGTCTAGCGCGGTTTTGTATGCGGCTGGCGGCTGCGAGAGCGGGAGTAGGCTTTTTCGATGTCGGCGGAGCTGGATTACGTGGACGACGGCAGCGACGGATATGGTGATGACGATTATGAATACGATGAGGCTTGCTACGATGGTGGAGTTGTCGAGGACGGTGCTACAATAAGTGGGGGTTTCTGGTGAACGCAATTGAAGCGATAGAATCAATTGGACGCACACGAAATCCGATGGGGGCATTGTGGCAGATACCTTTGTCGACAACCCAGTTGGATTTGCGGTAATGGACACACTATGATAGTTCATAAGCGGCGCCATATCGTCTTAGGTGAAGGATGCAAACCGTGTCTGTGAAACGAACGGCGATGTGAAGAGAGACGTGGGGGTACCATTTGAGCTGGTGACGTTCAGCTCAGGGCAGCCTGATGGCTGATACAACCTACTCAGAGTCAATATCGGTGGGATAAACGATACTGAAGGATCCGGTGCTACGAAAGAGCACAAGACATTAGTACAGGCGTTCTCAAGGAATACTTCATAACACACATCGTGGGGGTCAGGGATACGCAGTCTGCATATCCAGCTCCGCAGTAAAATGAGAGTAGAGTAATTAAAATACTGTCTGGTCGTCAGTGGAATCCAATGAGCGAAGACGGAACAACTTGCGATAAATTAAAAAAGCAGCCCATCGCAGACGGGAGAGAAGGAAAAACCACGCCGGGCGGGGATGAACGGGCCAGGAGAGAGATAAGAGTCCCGTACGCATCTCCGTTGGCGACGCTCGACTGGGATCAGCACAGCAGTACGTGATGGGCCTCCGTAGTGCGCTGAGACGGCGCCAGGCGACGGCTAGGATATCCCAGGATCAATCAGGGATGTTAACTGTATATGAGCTGTGGGCCCACGGTATGGATAGAAAGAGCAACGGTCAAGACCGCATCGTTACCCATGCGTGGAGCCTGTGTGTGAGGGGATTGAGAGTCTGACCGGCTGTGGCGATGGTTCCAAGATGTGAGCACGATTAGATGAAATAGGGTTTTGTTCGACGCAATCTCAGTGTGAGCATTCCCCAAGAAGTAAGACGATGATGAAAGCAGGAAGAACAAAGGCCTAGGCCCTGGGGCAGTGCAGCAATTGATCCCATCAACACATACTTGTCGTCTCAGCATTGCGTTCCTAAGGGGACCGGCCGCGTAATCCTACCTACCTACCTCAGCGAACCAATGCAACTACGCAGCAACGAACTTCATTATATGGCTCCCACTGGTCATACTTAGGATTTCGTTGACCATCCGCTTCGGACTGTCGATAGTACACCGCTCCTTGACCGCTCCACATCTCCCGGCATCCTCCTGCATGGCACCCGATTTTTATATGCTCATCTTGCGCATCTCATAAGGATGATAACAACCTCTCCCATGAGGTCAGTCCTCGTTCGATCGTTGTTTCAAGGCCATTCTGAAATCGCGGTGTTTTTCTTGTGGAGCACCTCGCGCGACGCAAACAAACTGAGACTGGGACTGTCTCACGACGCACACCAGTCAGACGGCAGCCAGAACTTCTCTCGTTTGCTGTTCTTCCTTTTAACTGATCCGTGAACTCTATGGTCGGCTTTCCTCCTCAACGACACAGACGATGTGAAATGACCTCTGTCATCATCGCTCTCAACGATTGTTCTGTGAGTTCCCACATCGTTGATATATCCACGGTGCTCCTCCTGACGTCCGTCGTGGACTGCCTAAGAAGCCTTGGCCCTTATCGTCGAGATGCGTGTGGGCTACCGTCGCTGTGGGCGCTTCCGCGGACGTTCGTGGGGCCTCCTAGGCCTGAGTGGAGCCGTATCAGATATCGGCAGCAAAACTGGGTGCCGGTGTCGCGAAGGTACCGACCATGATCAAACTATCGATAAGTATCTACCCGCTGCTTCCTGCCTTATCGCGCGCCATGTCAAAAAGATTGAACACTTGGGTGTAGCGATACCATCATGCCATGATCTGTGCTAGACCTGTCAGGTTAGTATCCTCCGGTTCTCGGATGTCCTTGCGGTGGTGCTGAGTTCGCAATTAACATTGGGTTTTCAGCGGTTCCGCGCTGATGAGCGTATTATCCTGTAAATCTTCTCACCAGTTGCTTCTCAACCGAACGAAGGGCACATCAGTTCCTCGTCCGTACGTACGTACGTACATGGCTATAAAGCCCCACTCACGCCTTTCGATGGGGCTTGAACCTCTTCTTGGAAATGCCTCAGTTCCGACAGCGACTCGGGAGGATATTTCTGGCGGCGGCATTAACACTCTCAGCTCGGGCACAGTCGGCCCCAATTGTCGATCTCGGCTACGCGCAATATCAAGGCACCGTCTCGGCCACCAACATCTCACACTTCGTGGGGATACGATATGCGGCGGCGCCGCTAGGTCCGTTGTTGGATCTTCAATCTTATCTTCAGTGCTGATTCGGCTCCGTTGTCGGCAGGGGATCTGCGCTTCCGCGCACCACAGCCGCCTGCGCAAGTCATCGGCGTGCAGGATGCCACCGTCCAGCCCAACGAGTGTTTTCAGACGTCGAAGGGATTGTCTCCGGTCAACCCGCTGGAAACGCGGCAGGCTGCGATCGTGCAGACGGAAGACTGCTTGTTTCTCAAGTGCGTGATTCCTAAACTGTGAATAAATCAGTCGCTCATTCAGTGGTAGTGTGTACACCCCGAGCGATGCCGCTGGTGCTCCCGTTGGAAATCTTCCGGTGCTCGTTTATATCCACGGCGGAGGGTGTGTTTGTGTACCTTTTGTTTGGCTTTAATAACCCCGTTCATCCAGATACCTTGCGGGACAGGCGAGCACTACGAACGGGGAAGACATTATCAACCAGAGCAATAGAGGACTCGTCATCGTCATTATTCAATACCGCCTTGGTCTTTTCGGTAAGCACTGCTTACTATCGTCTGAAGAACATTCCCCGACAGTTTTGTTTGCAGGTTTCCTCCCCGGTGCGGAAGTCAAGAAGAATGGGGATTTGAATGCTGGGTTGCGTTTGTGTCTTGCCTTTTGATAGCTGGGTCATTTTTGACGAGTTGCGGCCCACTAGTTGACCAAGACTTTGCATTACGATGGACCAATAAACATGTTGGTCGCCGGATTCTGTCTTTGATCTCGCTGATCTGAAGTATGGTTCAGATAACGAAGTTCGGCGGAGACCCTTCGAGGGTAACTATCTGGGGGCAATCTGCAGGTGCGTCCTCGAGTCGTGTATGTACCCGGTAACATGATCCAATTGATATTTAGGCGCGGGATCCGTCCTTCAGCATGTCGTGGCCAATAATGGACGGACCGAGCCCCAATTGTTCAGAGCCGCGATGACCAGCTCAACGTTCCTGCCTTCACAATATCATTATAATGACCCCATCCCCGAGGTGCGTGCCTCAGCTTGTCCTCCATGGTCATATTTGACCGTTCTACAGTTGTCATTCAGTAAAATCGTGGCTCAGTCAAAGTAAATTTTCATTTTTTAAAATAGTTCGATAACCTTTTTTCTTTTATCCAAAGCTGCACCTCTGCCCGCGACGCGATGGCTTGCCTGCGGTCCACCGACGCCGAAGTGCTTCAAGCAGCCAACATCCAGATCAACAACGGCGCGTTCTTTGGCACGTACACGTTGGTACCGGTAGTAGACGGTTCGTACATTACACAACGGCCGACGCTATCCCTTCAGCAAGGCAAGGTCAACGGGGTGCGTTCTTGTCTTTCCACAGTATACCCATCCAAAGACATCTGACTAACAAGCCCGATTTATTGACAGGGCGCGCTCCTCTCGGTAACGAACACGTTCGAGGGGGTCAAGTTCGTGAATCAGAGTACAGCCGACACGGCAAACGCGACGCAGTTTCCGCTCGAGGTGTTCCCGAATTTCGGGTCTGCGCAGGCCGAGCGGGTGGCGGACTTTTATGCGGGGTTGGGGACGCAGATTTTCCAGGAGAATGCGATTATGGGAGAATGTGGGTATACTAACCTAACGAAGCGAAAGTTGAGCTGATAATGGTGATGTTTGTTTACAGCGATTTTCATTTGTCCGACGTACCTCTTGCTGCGTGCGTTCGGGGCGCGTGCTTTCAAGGTATTCATTCCATTGAATTGTGTTGGCTGTCGAGACGATTGATGATCTCCGTGCGTCCAGGCTGAATTCGCGATCCCGCCAGGTCAACATGCGGACGACGTTCCGTACTACTGGCCCTCCACCACAACACCGCCGTTCAACAACCAAATCTTCATAAACACATTCGCCCAGATCTTCACTTCGTTCGCC